CTATCTCCAGGCTACAACTTTTATGTACAAAGAAGATAACATTTACCGTTTTATTCGATCTATGTTTGTTCTGTGTTGTTTGAAAGATACATCGGCCCAATGGCCTCATCAAAATGTTATTCTCTTCATATGGCTACTTATTTTTCCAGTGGCTCAGCCTTGGGGGATTCAACCCGATGCTACACGCAGACAAGTATTTGCCCATTTGCCTGGCGACATTATCTTTGGAGGTTTATTTCCGGTGCATTCATCCGACCTGAGCAGATGTGATATTATAAACCCGGAGCGAGGTATTCAGCGTGTTGAAGCGATGCTATTTACGCTGGATGAGATTAACAATCGCTCAGATATTCTGCCTGGACTTAACTTGGGCGCTATTATTCGTGACACGTGTTCACAGAGCAACCATGCTCTGGAACAGTCACTTGAATTTGTGAAAAGTGGCCGGCCCGTCTGCGAGTTAGCATTGACTTCGGAAAGAAACCCTTTGCTGGTGAAGAAGCAGATTGATAATGTATCTCTGACGAGAGGACACGAGTCGTCTGAAAATCAAAATCCAGTGCGGGGTGTGATCGGTGCCTCATATAGCACTATTAGTATTCTTGTGGCAAATTTATTTGCCCTATTCCAGTTGCCACAGATATCTTATGCTTCCACAAGTGCTGTACTCAGCGACAAACGAACTTTTCCTCTGTTTGCCCGTACAGTGCCTTCAGATGTGATGCAGGCCCGCGCTATGGCTGCTCTAGTACAGAAATTTAACTGGACTTATGTATCTACGGTCCGTAGTGCTGGGGACTACGGCGATTCTGGGATGGATGCCTTCTGGAAAGAGGCAGATAAGTTAGGCATCTGCATTGCTGCCCGCGAAGTAATTCGACTCAGCATGAATTCATCAGAACTTGATCAACTAGTACGCGTACTGTATGATGACTTTAGAAAAGCACGAGTTGTGGTGCTTTTCACGCGTATGGATCACACTAAGCACTTGCTAGACGCTGTGAATCGTGCGAAGCTGACTAACTATTTTGTTTGGATTGCCTCTGACGGATGGGGCCGTGAAAATGCCCCGGTTGCTAATAATTCAGCGGTAGCTAATGGAGCGTTAACAATCGAAATAAGTGCTGCAGAATTGAAGCATTTCTCCGAATACTATCGTAATTTGCGAGCTAACAATGTGCGAAACCCCTGGTTCCGGCAATACTGGGAACAGGTTTTTAATTGCACCTTTGGTGATTCGGAAAATTTTACAAAATCAAATAAGTTTAAACTTATTCACAGAAGATTCAACAACGAGAGTCAAGGCGAAAATAGCATAAACCAGACAATTTATGATAGTTTATCTGCCGGCAAGCCTCTGTGCGGTCAGAATTCTCACCAACGACTCGAAGCTGGTTTGGACTCCTTCAAACAGGAGGCGAAAGTGCAGTTTATCGGCCATGCAATCTACGCCTTTGCACATACCCTTCACAAGTTACAAATGGAATTATGCAAAAATCCATATAATTTGACAGGAAAAAGTAAAAAGGAATGCATCGCTTCTTTAAAAAATTTCCCTGGAGCCGAATTTTATGCAAAGACTATAAAAAATACATTTATTGGTGAGTAAGTCTATGTCTTATTATGCCTAAGGATGTTTAAATTGTTTAAAATTTTCACCTTCTTTCAGATAGATAAAATTTTATTATAGGATCTTCCCCTAAAAACAAAGGTTTATTGCGACTTTCAGCCATAGCTTAAGAGGTATATATGAGAGCTCTCTTATGCTCAAATAAGCTGATTTATAAATGAGATTATTGGGCTAGAAAAAGGGGTTAGATATATTCTTGTCGAAGAACCGGTAGGCATAAGCGTCAACAAGCATTGTGAGTCCTGAAGATAAATCTTCATTGGTCAGCAAGGTAAAAAATTAAGGGAATCCTTGATATATTTGGCATTGTATTTCCTAACTATCCGTTCATAATTTGCTGATAAAAACCTTCTTAAGCTTGTGTAATTAAAGCGACAATTATGATGGATAGATAGTTCTAATTTAATATTCTAGAGTTATCATTCATTTTTAGATGCAACTATTTTATTAACTGAGCTGTCCAGTAATTATTCTATCTTGCCCATTTA